CCAGGCCCCGTAAGCAGGTGGTGTGGGGATGGGGTGAACCAGATGTCCCAATTTTATAGGGACAGTCCTGATTTTGGGGTTTTGTTTTTTTTTTAATTAAATATAGGCTCCTATTACCCTCCCACTCCCTGTCCCAATTTTTCACATTTGCTGTCTGATCACCCTATGTGGGGGTCACATTTTGGTACGCGCTTCACGCAAATCTGGCAAGTCTTAAAGCCGTGGCATGCACTGTCAACAAATGGGGGGGGGGGGACAGGAGGGGGAACCCCCTGTAACTGAAACTTATAAAAGAACTACTAAACTATACTAATTACTGGAAACTAACTATGTACAGCGTGTAGGGCACTGCTAATTCACTTGCCGAAGCAAGAGAAGAGCAAGGGGAAATGAATGAATCCACCTGTAATATTACTCCAACATACAAGCACTATGGAGTATGTGTCTCCCTAGTGTGGAAGACTGCCCCAAGGTACATCCCTAGACAAGGCCAGGCCTAGACCAAATGGCGCCTCAGGTGAGCAGCGTCTTCAGTGCCCCCCTCCCCCATCATTTGTTAATCTTTTGAACACCTTATTTTATTGCATTTGTAGTCTATTTCACAACTTTGATGCACGATTTGCATGCATGATTTATCTCAGTCATATAAGACAATAAATTTGCACGCTAGGATCTGTATTTATTCATGTCATATATATTCAAATAAAAATATTCATTTCCTCTAAGCTTATAGAAACTTTTTAAATTTTAAGAATAACTGAAATGTACTAACATCAAGAAATTGAACTGTGCGCCAACACTGAGTGGACGAGTATTAAATAGTGTTACAGTAGGTGCTCGAGAATCAATGGTTATCACTAGAAAATTTGATAGAGAATTCAACAAAATGAGTTGCTTAAAAGTTCAGTGCCCGCACCCTTGCGATATAATGTCTACACAAATGACCAATCAGAATTCCCCACCATGTGAAGATTCATTGTTGCAAATGACCTTTGCATTGCCACCAAACTGGAGAGAACTAGGGACATCAAGTGCATTCTAACAGACTCCCTAAGCATATTTAGAGAATACTATCACAGGTCCCTGAATGTCAATCCAGCAAAACATAAGTGCACACCTTCCATCTGAAACTTCATCTGGCCAAGCAAAATCTCCAGATTTCATGGAATGGTACAATTCTTGAGCACTATGAACATCCAGTGTTCCTTGGGGTAACAAATTGAATGCTGACCTACAAAGAGCACATCAAGCAGTGGAAAAAAGTGAACTCCAGGAACTGTATACTATAGAATCTGGCCAATACAAAATGGGAGCTAACCCCAAAACACTCCAAGCACTAGTCTCACATTGAGTTACTCAGTTGAGGACTATTATGCCCCAGTATGGTCACGTTCAAATGAAGCGCACAAAATTGATACTGAACTCAAGCAAATCTGTACGATCAACACAGGGTCTCTGAACCTGACCCCCCACACTGTTGCTATGCTATCTCATAGGGATTGCACCACCATCAGTGAAGCGGAATGCCTTCAGTAAAACAGAGACAAAAAACAGGTGGATGATCCAAGACACCCACTGCACAAACAGATTCCACCACCTGAGTCCAGAAAGAGCCTTTCCTCTTAAAATCCCTTACCCAAAAATACCACTGTGGAAAGCTACAGAGTAACAAAATGGCAAGAAATGCTGATGATCCTGGAGAAAGTAGTTCCTTCAGAACAATAACACTTCAGACAAAAATATTGGTACACTCTGAATCAAGCAAGAGCTGGGGTGGCAAAAGACTGGTGACAATATGACGAAGTAGAAGCTGAGGAATGATGATGCCAAATGGGAATGTGGAGAGCTTAGACTAGTGATACTCAGACCTCAGTGGTTCAGGAGCCAACTTAGCCATCAATATTACCCGAAAGAGTGACAGTAGTGTGAATGCATTGTTTCATTTACTGTATACTATACATTATTCTCACAATACAATGACTGACCAAATATTCTACAATTGGTTAATAACACAGTATAAAAGCATCCTGACTGGTTAATTAAATCACACAGTGTTTTAATATCATGTGCTGCAAAGAGCTACAGGAGACACATTAAAGAGCCACTTGTGGCTCCCAAGCCTCAGTCTGAATATCACTGGCCTAGACAATCACTTGAACACTGCTTGGTGCACTGCCCCGGCCAATATCCGGTACCCATGAGGAACTATGTGAGGTAAGTGAGAACACAAGGTTGTCATAACTATAAAGGGAAGGGTAACAGCCCTCCTGTGTACAATACTATAAAATCCCTCCTGGCCAGAGACTCCAAAATCCTTTTACCTGTAAAGGGTTAAGAAGCTCAGGTAACCTGGCGGACACCTGACCCAAAGGACCAATAAGGGGACATGATACTTTCAAATCTTGGTGGGGGGAAGGCTTTTGTTTGTGCTCTTTGTTTGGGGGAGTTCGCTCTTGGGACTAAGAGGGACCAGACATCAATCCAGGCTCTCCAAATCTTTCTGAACAAGTCTCTCATATTTCAACTTGTAAGTAAACAGCCAGGCAAGGCGTGTTAGTTTTATCTTTGTTTTCTCAACTTGTAAATGTACCTTTTACTAGGGTGTTTACCTCTGTTTGCTGTAACTTTGAACCTAAGGCTAGAGGGGGGTCCTCTGGGCTCTTTAAGTTTGATTACCCTGTAAAGTTATTTCCCATCCTGATTTTACAGAGATGATTTTTACCTTTTTCTTTAATTAAAAGCCTTCTTTTTAAGAACCTGATTGATTTTTCCTTGTTTTTAGATCCAAGGGGGTTGGATCTTGATCCACCAGGAGTTGGTGGGAGAAAGGAGGGGGATGGTTAATTTCTCCTTGTTTTAAGATCCAAGGGGTTTGGATCTGTATTCACCAGGGAATTGGTGAAGAATCTCTCAAGGCTACCCAGGGAAGGGAATTAGCACTTTGGGAGTGGTGGCAGCGGACCAGATCTAAGCTGGTAGTTAAGCTTAGAAGTTTTCATGCAGGCCCCCACATCTGTACCCTAAAGTTCAGAGTGGGGAAGCAGCCTTGACAAAGGTCTTGACCAAAGTTTTGGAGAGACAAACTACGAAGATAACATCCTCTTTGTCAATGGAAAGTTTTAACAAATAACAAAAATTAAACAGTGATCATGAACTAATATTAAAGGGACCAAAAAACAAACAGGATCAACCATAAACCAAATGAGTTTTTAGATTTCTCTACCACAAGATTTCCTCCTCCAACACAAATACCTCTAACCTATCCCTCTACCCTTCTGAATCTCCTGTCCCAGACACAGAAGAGGCAAAGATGTAGTTGTGATAGGGGTCCCGGCTTATCTCTTGTGCAGTCAGAGTTTCTCCCCAAAAGGTAAAAATCTCATCCAGTCCACACTGTTACACATATAGAATTAATGTACTGAAAAAACTCCGAAGAAAGAACTAAAAGTAAAATTTACAAATCCACCTAAATGATTAGGCACCCAAGTCCCATTCACCTTCAGTGGGACTTGGGCACTTAAATCACCTATGCGTTTTTGAAAACTGTATCCTACAGCTTCATTCTTCTCATATGTCCTATAAAAACAGCAAAGACCCATAGGTCTGGCTCCTTTGTCCTTTCTGTTTTGTGAATCTTTGGCCTGGGAAGCAAAGCTGCAAGATGTGACCTGCTTCCTCCACTCATTCCCAACCATTTACCAAGACAACAGTACAAATCTCATAAGCTGGTAAACTGGGGGAGAAGAGGAGGGTGTTTTGGTTCAGGCAACATTATTATTTTACGGTTGTCCGAGAGACACAAACCACAGACATCCGCAGTTCTGCATATTAGTTGTTGCTTTAAAAAGTAAGGGTAGCCTACAATGGAGCTAGAAGATATGGAAGTTGGTGGTAACATTTACAGATTATAAACCTCCTTAAATCACATTAGCACCACTTCTATACCACATAATTTTGAGTTTACATTCTGTTTCGTACTTGTGTAAATGAGTAGGCTGGATCTAAGCCATCCATTGAGACTTTGGTATGGATTTTTGTAATTTATCAAAATTAGATATCCGGGCGTAGGATTCTTTGATTATTGTTATACTCTGTAATACATTGCATTTATTATGTACTTTTGCCCATGTCTCCTGCAATCTCTAGCTAATCCATCTCTACAGGAAATGCTGACATGAACTTCTCTGAACAACTACATTCACTTTCCCTTCCCACCATTTTTAAAATCACATTGCTAGAGAAAGGTTTCCTTCTTTCAGCTGAAAATGTGGCATTTCCCCCTAAATTATACTGTTCTGAGGTTAGATCAAGCAATATTCAGTACTGTATCCATGTCAAGTTTAAGGTCTATAACTTGTAACTCTACAAAACTAGATAGCACCATTGTAAAGGAAAGATACTTAGGCTTTCTGAAGAGACAGGTGGCAATTGCTTCTGGCCCTAGAATATCATTAGCTATCAGACTTTTAAAAATTTCCTAAAATACTTTTTGTATAAATGTCACTTTAAAGTTACCAATTTTTTTTCCTGTACCTTACAACTCTGCAGAATAGGACTTAAGTTAGAAAAGAACTCTAGCTTTACAAATGAAGGGATGCAAAAATAGCCACAAGAAAAACTGTTTAACTGATTTTTGTAATCTTTTCTTTGGGAATTTCTCAGCACCTTTCTATTGTTTGAAACAGACCTTTGATATTCATCAAGAAGAACACACTCAGACAAGGGAAGAGCCTTTTCTCTGTCTCATGAAATTCCACTCGGCTTTTGAACAGTTAAAAATCATCCATTTCTCAAGAAAATTTTGGAGCATCCCAAAACAGTTCCTCAACACAAGAACATTCTAAAAGCGAGTCTCATGCTGCTACAAGAAAGCAACCACAACTTTACTGGGAATATCTGGGAGGTGCCAGAGAGCTGTTGCATAGGTAGGAAGGAGAAGGGACAGTCCCACATGCTGAAGAGAAGAACTGTGATCGATTATAATTGTTAATTAACAGTACCTGCAGGAAATGCTGCCCAAGGAATAGCAGGAGAAATAGTTTGTGTTTCACCATCTTCACCTTCAAAGGTCACTGCTGCCTAGAAATATGGAAAATACTGTTTTGTTAGACTTCTAAAAACTTTTGCACAGATTTTCCAGGAGGCATTTTCTAATGATCACATTCATCACAACTTATCAAGCATTTCAAATATATTCCTTTAACACTGACCTATACTGCACTGCACTAGCGCAAGTGGAATAACTTTTTTTTTTAACTGTATTTGTCCAACTGTAATGAGTATGCACCACACACACAAAAAACACTACAGAAATCATTTAAGTGCATCACTAGTCAGCAAAGTAGTTAAGCACTTGCTTAGGATTGGCTGCTTCGCTGGGGCTAAAATGCACAGGTATACTTAGGAAAAAGCCCTCAATAAACTGGATATGAAATACAGATATGGTCACAGGCACAACTATGCAAACACACTAACATCTTTGATTTAACTTCACAATTGTTAAACTGAATACAAAACAACTTTTACGCAATGTGCAGAGGAGTGTGTTATACTTATTACTTGACCAAAACAAAACAAAAGAACACCTGCCCAGCACCGGCTAAATATTAAAACCTAATATTAAAACACCGGCTAAATATTAAAACCTAAGCCAAAGTTTTTACAATTTTATGCCGAATGTTAGGTATCTAAATACACAGACACTTAGTTAAGTGGCATGATTTCCAAAGATGCTGACCATCCCTAATTTATGTTCTATCTAGAGAGAAAAATAAATTATTTCGCTTGATTATTAAATGTATTGGTTAGTAAATTTTGCTTTAACGTTAACATGAAAATTGTGCCTAGTTGTCAACATCTGTACAATTACTAATCATAAAATAAAGCATGCCCCTCCAAATGATGTAATTTCAAAAGTTTCTACAGCTAACCATTTTTCAAGGTCAGGAACATGACATACCTCAAAGCCTCCAAATTCGTCGTCATCCATTTTCCTGTTGGCACCTACAAGACAGTATAAAATAATATTGATCAAAAATCTAAGCTCTTTGCAGTCTGCTGTATCCCAAAGGTGGGAAGATGTATTCTGTACAGCAAAAACTTCAAGCAGCCTTCAAAGATAGCCTCAAGTAGAACACATTACAGTGGCCAAGACTCAAGGAAACAAAGGCATAGATAACCACAGCAGACTCTGAATCTGAAAGCAATGAGTGATATCAGACAAGCAGACTCACTCAATCAAGAGAAATTACAGTCTTTTGCTAGTTCATCCAAATTATCTTCAGTCCCAGCTATTATCACTGACTTTTCATCCAGAGTGAGCATAAGCCTACTGTGCTTTCATAATAGTCCTTATCTCCACAAGATATTTGAGAAAGCCAGGAAACAGGTCTATCCAATTCAGATGAACTGGAGACTTACTACTCCCTCACCACACTGTAGCCAACAGTGCTTCAAAATCTCTCTAGAGCTTCCTATATGTTGATTAAGAAGAATTACAAGATTAAGTCATGTGGGACTCAACAGTGGAGCTCCCCTGGTGAGGAAGAGCAATATTGTTCAAGATCTCTTCACTAAAAGTAGCCATTTTAAAGGTGATTCTGTCTACCAATAGACACAGCAGCGAAGCGCACCGCACCCCATAATCAATGGTGTTAAAGGTTGCCGAATTACCTAGTCTCTTGGACATCACGCCATCACTAAATGACTTGAGATCACCTATAGTAACAAATGTTTCTATATCATATCTTCATTTGACATTTGAGTGGTTGGATTTATAATAGAACACCATATTATTTCTGATCTAAATAAAATAAAATGGTTCCTTGTTACTAGTAAAACTAGGATCTGTTCAACTTTTTCATAAAAAAAAAAAAAAAAAAAAGCTAGGATTTTGTTTGTTTTACTTTCCAGTAGAACTTTCTAGCAGAATTAAAATTTTCTGTATTTCTTCATCTGCCATATATTCTGAAGTTATGTTCATCTGCCAGGAATGGAAAAAATATTTTTACATTTTAAGTTTCTTTTCCAAATTGGCACTGTGGCTCAATTCAATAATATTTCCTGCTTTTCACATCTCTTAGCTGTCTGGCAACATCAGCACAAACTTCAACTCAGAACAAGACTGTGGTGAATTTCTGGAAGTCTCTCTGTCACCACAAAGGTTCTTCCCTAGGTTTCATGGCAGGCGTTGATTTAGATTTTCAAAACTGATCAGCATTTTTGAGTTGCAGCCATGATTTCTGTGGCATTTTGATATATTTTTAGCTAAAACTGTCTTGTTTCTTTTGAAACACGTGGAGTAAGTTACTCAGCTAATGAAGATAAATCAAGCTATGTATGGTTGCTCCTGAAAGAATACAGCTAAACCAGTAATATATCCCCAAAGTTCCTCCTGATATTTGACTAAGGGTAAGGATGAACCAACAAATCTCAATAAATGTAACAAAAAGGTAAGAAATTTATAAAATGTATTATTTTCCAGTTAAACTAAATGGCTGGCTGCAAAGATTTCAGTAACATATGGGCAGAAATAAAAAGATGCAGGTGGTTTGCAAGAAATCCTAATGAATTAGAATATTATAAAAGAGCAATTTCTCCAAAGTTAGAGGCAGACACAAGTGTCGATCTGCTGCTGAAAATCATTAGCGACACAGAAAACTCTCTCTTCCAGGGCTTACCAAATTTGCTATTAATTAATTATTACTGATAACGTTAAATTGAATGAGCATTGTTATGTCTAATAAGAAAAGAATTCAATTAAATAAAAAATGTTGCCCAATTTCCACATAAGCCTGAAAAAGACAAATCAAATTCTCAAGGTTCGCACAGCTTTTTGCAGCCAAGATGCCAGATGGATATTTTTCGCAGCACAGATGCCAGGTCTATGAATCCAGCCTTAAATGACCAAACACTAATCCTTCATTCATGCCTGCACACTCAATTAACATTAATAGCTTAAACACACTGCACCAAAAATAAAAAATAAAACAGCATTTTTAAGAAAATTGTGATAAAGAGTTGTTTTCTTGTCACAGAAATGTGATGTGAAACGATATATATAGAAAATATGTAGACAGGAACGCATTACTGAAGGAAAGGGAATCAAAATAAGTCATGTGACGAAACACTATCATCATTGCACATCATTACCATGTATTCAAAAATAAAGGACGGCTATCCAGCTACATAAAGCATTCAAAAATATTTCAGAAACTTATGATAGATTGAAAAGAAGTTCAAACTAAGTTAATACTTTAGGGCCTGATTCAATGGTCATTAAAGTTAATGTGAGTCTTTCGACTGACTATAGGCTTTGGAACAGATCCATAAAGAACATTTGAAAGAAAATGGAAGTCAATATGTTAATGTAATTTTTTTAATAATAAAATAAAGTTACATTAAAGAGCAATAAAGATACCGATAATTAAACAACTATAACTTTATACATACACACAAAATAAACCTAGCAATTATCAAATTATTTTCAGCTTAATTAAGTGTAGTACCTAAATTAACCTATTTACTCCATAAAATAAATTATTTTGCTTTCATATACTTTTAAACTCACTCTTTAGTCACTTGATAGCATTTGTTGTAAGCCTTATTGAAATAACCACTGTACTTTTTTTAGTTTACCTATTTGATACATAGACTCTTGCATATACACCTAACAGAAGCATACGAATAATTTAGTGATTTCTACAAAGAATAGTGAGGATTCTCATGCTTTCTTAGGCTATTAATACTTGAAGCTGAGAGTGTGATTCCCAGCTGAAGCAGACACTGTCATGACTTGCAGATCTCAAACCTGAGCCTGCAAGGTTCATGGGAACAGCCACACAACCACCCTACATCTAGCAGGCAGCTGACAATGGCTTACCTGAGACCCAAAAAGCCCAGCTCCAGTGTGAGGCTGCACCATTTGGTCCAATTGGCACAGTCCCACTGGTCCTACTTAAGTCAGCAGCAGGAACAGGAAGCTGTCCAAACAACTGGACTCCACCTTGCTCTCGACTGGATGCCTTGTGCTTCCTGCTCATGCAACCCACTACCTGGCTCCTGCTTCCCTGGCTTGATTTCCAGTCATGTCATCCTGGTTTGGCTCCTGGTATCTGATTTGCAGTTCCCAAATTCCAGTTTGTCTCCTGCCTCTGACTCCCCAGTATCCCTACAAGGTCTGACTTTGATTCTGATCTCCAGTTTGTCTCCTACCTCTGAGCTCCCGCCCGGTATCCTGGCCCAGTCGACGCGACTCCTGTCTCATGACTGTGGACTCTTACTCCAACTACTAGGTCTGCTCGCCCATGACCTGGGCATGACAAACATATTTGCTCTAGCTCTGATCAAGCTACACACTAAAAACAGCGGTGTAGTCATGATCGCACAGGCAGCAGCCATCATAACACAGGTGGTGGCACACAGTAGCTGCCCTAAGTACACACCCATGGGGTGCGGGCAGGTTTGTACTTGGCAGCTACACTACTATTTTTAGTATGCTAGCGCAATGACAGCTAGTGCAAGCATGTCTACTCAAGCTGGGAATCACACCTCCAGCTCCAAGTGTAGATGTAGCCATAGAGTAGACTGCATCTTGTTAAAAACCTTGTGGACAACCCTCCTCTCTCATTCGCAATTATACAGTCCACCATGCCTACACATTCACAACCCCATAGCATCATTGTGCCTTCTACAGCAATTGCTTATGTGGAAAAGTAACAGAAAACCATGCAATGTAGTTTATCAGTCTAATGTGATATATCAACTAGAAATAAGGAACTCCAGCACCATGTGGCCTGTGGTTCCAAAGATGAACAAAAAGTCCTTCATGGACCACTGGCAGTCCATGGACTACAGTTTGAGAATCTGAATTAAGCAGTTTATTCACCAAAACTAGAAAGGGAATTTTTATTCCACTCTACTCAGCATTGGTTAGATCTCAGTTGGAGAACTGCACTCACTCAGTTTTGAGCACAGGATTTTAAACAAGGCAGACAAATTGGAACAAGTTCAGAGATGGAAAAAGGAACTAAAACAGGTTTGGAAGAGAAACTAAAGTTTAAACTGGACATGCCCATTTCTCTAAAGAAAAAAAAACCCTAAGAAGAAACATAACTGACTAAAATATGTAAAAGGATTTTCATTCATCATAAAGGACAGAACAAGCAGTAATCGGCATAAACTCCAGTACGAAAAAAGCATGTTTAATATTAGGAAGAATTTTAGAGCAATAGGCAATATAGCAAACTATCATGAGAAGATGTACAAGCACCATCGCTGAACATAATCAAAGTTTAACTAGGCACCCACCTTTCAAGAATTGAAATCAAGCCTGCTGCCAATGAAAAATACTTTCAAACCTAAACAAGTCTACATACATTTAGTTTTTAAAAGGTTTGAATACATCTTTCCACAATTACTTAACATGAAAAAAGCGACCCAATATAAAATGATTTAAAACTCCCAAAAGATTTATATTTTGATAATATGGAACACCTTGTGCAGCATACATATATACTATCATTAATCTCATCCTTTACATTGAACCAGCAATATTCTCCAGCTTTGGTTTTGTTTTTTATTAAACATGTATTCTAAAGGGCTCATAAAGCTCTTCTCTCCTTACAACAAGAACATTATTTGTGGCTCCTTAGACAGAAGTAGTAATTAACTGCTTAGTCTTCAAAGAGTAACTACGAGACTTGTCTCACCCTAACTACGTATGGACTATACAACATGTCTGTTACTCGATAATAAATAATTGTAACAGAATTGGATAAGTAGTTGACCTCAAATTATAGATTCATAAAAATATAGAAATTATGGACGGAAAAGATCTCTTATATCACCTAGTCCAAGCCAATTACAAAATATGATTGTTCTCTAAACAATAACTTATTACAGGGCTTGAGAAGTCCACACCCCCAATATCTCAGTGTCAAGCAGGAAGAATTTCCCAGATTGTGGGGCTCAAAGCCATCAATTTCTAAGGCTTTCATTATAAA